GTAGTTTTCCTTGTTCCTTGGCCACCTCTTATTTTCGTAACTCTCCGGCCTTCTGCATAAGAATCCGCGTACGCGCAAGGAGTATGCGACGCTTTTGGATGCGCTCCTCAAGAGTTGAACGTGTCCTTTTGACTTGGATCCATTCGTTTGTTGCTGGTTTCGAGGAGGGGCCATTTGCTCACTGTTGGGGTACTTGGTGTTCCCTAAATTTCAGATCCGCACTATAACAGATCCCGTCCACTGGCTCCAAAGCCTTAGCGATTTGGTGCACGAGACATTGACGTTGCCTTTGATGTACCATCTTCGATAGGATTGGCGCACCTTCAGTACTCAACTCCTTGATTGAGGAGGAGTCTAGATCTACAGATCCGCCCTAGAGGCCGGAAGGACATTGGAAGGTGCAGCTACCACAACAACGGGGATGTTAATCTTCCTACGCTTGCGAGTGAAGGAGGATTTAGAGGAGGAGGATGACAGATACTCCTCAAACTTCTGTTGGGCAAACTCGTACTCGACCTCTTCTTCAACCGGGATCCGGATCCGAGGTTGCGACACGACAGCCTCTACAGAGAAGTTGTTGGCTCCCACTATGGTCGCCAATGTGTTTGGGTCAAAATTTATTTTCTTCATTGTGATTGAATCTATTACAACTTCAGGCGTTATAATAAACTCAACAGAAAGTTAGTCCTTTTTTAAGACTTTTACACAATGGAAATAACTGATTACAATCTCTTTCAAACAACACACAGATCCTATTTATTAGTCTCTGTTTGCGTGGGATCTTTGCCTGTGCCGGGGACGTTGATATCTATGGACCGCCTACGGATCGGATCCGGTTGACCGAATGATTAATTAGAGCTCCTAGTTCACCAAGAAAGTATTCACTAAAGTACTGATATCGACCAAGCGAAATTAGTACTATTCTCGAGATTAAGGCCAAGCCTAATCTCAAGGAATGGGGGGACGGGGCTTCAGATCTCTCGAACTATCCCTCTTTATGCTGAAGAACTTCACCGAGATCAGCTAGCCTCCTCTGAAATTCGTGCTCCCTTGCTCTCCAACTCGGCAGCACCTCTTCGTCTTGATAATAATTCACTCCTTCTGAAAGGAGACCCTAGACTTGTATTTATAGGGCCCCGAATGCGGTTATTTGGATGAGAATGGGAGATTTGGACTTATCTTCAGTCAATAATGACCCACCCACATTTAGATATGATATCTAAGCAGTTAGAGAGGTTCTGGAACTAAAAAAATCGATCGAAATAGCCTAAAATGCGTTTTTGGACGTTATGAGCAGTTCTGGACGCGGGACAGACCACTGTGACCCGCACGTACGCAGGTCACCAAGTGGTGATCCGCTCGAATGCAAGTTACCAAGTGATGACCCGCTCGGCCGCGGGTCACTAAGTGGTGATCCGCTCGGTCACGGGTTACCACGCGGTGACCCGCGCGGTCATGGGTCACTCACCCTTGGGTGACCCGCGCGCCATGCGAGTTCTGAGCTTTTCAGTGTTTCCGGACTTTACCAGACTTGTACTTTCTACTGATTTGTGTATTTGATCATCTTGTTGACTTGTACGCTTTGTTAACTTGCTTCATGCGCTCGTTAGCTTCTTTACGGTACTTGGAGTTGACCGACAAGCACGGTGGGCACTTGGAGCTGACCGACAAGCATACGGGCAATTGGAGCTGATCGACAAGCATGGCGAGCACTTGGAGCTGACTGACAAGCGCGGCGGGCACTTGGAGCTGACCAACAAGCGTGATGGGTACTTGGAGCTGACCAACAAGCGCTTGGAACTGACCGACAAGCGTGTGGGCCACCAGCTCCGACAAGCGTGCGGGCCACTCTGGTAATGCTTCTTGACCCGGATGATGACATTCATTGTCTTCTTTTCGTCCCGAGCTACGTGCGGACACCTACAGACATTTTTTGACACCTACAATGGTCTTCCATTTTTCTAAAAGCTAAGCCTCTTCTGCTTCTAGTAGATCTAATCCTCGCAAACATCAACTTCAACTAAATCAACACAGGGAAGCTTCCCCTGTGAGTGTAGAATCTTCATGCACTTCTCACTCATGTGTCTCAGCCTATTGTGCCACAAATCTACACTCTTATTACCAGCTACAACTGTGAGGGTGTTCCTATTTTTTTACCATGGGCAACCACCATAGTACCATTGGAGATCTTCCACGAATCCCTAGTAAATGTTAAAACATAGCCTTCCGCTCCAAGCTGACCAACCAAAACAAGATTCCTCTTCATCTTTGGTACATATCTTATGTTCTTCAGATTCCACTTAGAGCCCTTCATCTGAATCTGCACACCGCCTCTTCCAACAATATTGCAAGGCTCGTTGTCTCCCAAGTATACTTTTCTAAAATCGCCTGCTACATAGTTCTGAAGAAGATTCCTATTAGCAATGGCTTGGAAAGAGGCTCCTGAATTAATTACCCATGAATCAGAATCATTGTCGATAGCAAGGATCAATGCATCTTGCACAATATAAGCCTCCGGCTCATTTGCATCCATCTTTGGTGCTTTGCAGACTGAAAACATATGGCCTTTCTGACCGCAATTCCAACACTTCCCTTTGATAGGATTAACCTTCGAGTTCAACCTCTTCTTCTTCGACTTCTACTGATTCCTGTTCTGGTTTCCCTTCTTCTGGATTCGGCCTCTCTGCTCGAGATTTAGAGCTGAACCTGAACCTTCTGATTCGGACGATTTCCTTCTAACCTCCTATGATAGAATCATGCTAACAACCTCGCTCAGCTTTAACTTCTCCTTCCCCGCCGAGTTGCTGATTGCAGTCACACAACCTGCCTAACTATTCAGCCACTACGATAGAATCAATAGGGCATGCACTTCGTCATCAAACATGATGCCCATGGAGATAAGTTGGTCAACAGTCATGTTGAACTCGCTGAGATACAACGTGAATGAACATCCTTCTGTCATCTTGAGGTTTGAGAGCGTCTTGACGAGATGCACCTTGTTTGCGGCTGACGGTTGCTCGTACATCTTCGCGAGCGCGTCCATAAGCCCCACCATCGTCTTCTCCTTCAATATATTGTGGGTGAATGATTTGGCAAGCGACAATTGGATCTGTCCTAGAACCTTTCGATCTAACATTTAGCAGTCCTCGTTTGATTCCTCCTTCTTCTTTCCCTTAGCCTTGCCCATCAACGGACGGTAAAGATCCTTCTGGTACAGATAGTCCTCCATCTACGACTTTCAGTAGGAAAAGTCTGATCCGTCAAACTTCTCAATTTCCGATTTGCTTTCCTCTGCCATAGCTCTTACACAAATCTTCTGAACGAAGCTCTGATACCAGTTGTTGGGGTTGAACACACAACCCATGTTCTTCTAGATCTTGTGCCGAAAATAAGCAAGAAGGAAATCACAACAAATAAAAGAAAACTTGCAAGAAAGAATAATCAAATAGATAATACCAAATTTAACGAGGTTCGGCAAACATGCTTACATCCTCGGAAGCCACACCAAAAAAACATTGATTAATTGAAGAAGATTACAATGTTCTCAATAGGCCTCTCTCTCTCTCTCTCTCTCTAAGATCTCTGTTCTCAAAGAGCCGTATAAACCCCCCTTTTTTTCGTGTTCTTCAAACCTTAAAAACATATCAAGGTATATATAGTATCCCAGCCTAAAACAGACTCTCAAATCAATTAGGAAACTGGAAATCCGACGTCGGTCGACCGGTGCAATGGCGTCGATCGACCAGCCAGAACGTCTGTTTCTTACAGGGTAGTGCACGTTTCGGTCGACCGGTGCCCTTACGTCGGTCGACTGGTTGATCACTATCGGTCGACCGACATCACTGTATCAGTCGACCGGCCAAAGCGATGTTTTTGGGATCGTTTCCTGCAATCGTTTCAGTCGACCGGCACACGTCCGTCAGTCGACCGGCACACGTCCGTCGGTCGACCGATGCTGGATTTTTCGGCTTCCTGACTGATTTTGATTCAGGTTTCGGTTTTCACACTTCCAAAACCAGCAGTTCTGTTATCCAAGAGAGCTCATTGAAGTTGTTAGGAAAGTGCATTAAGGGGTAGTGGTGGAAATAATGCACTTTCTAATGTTTGACTCATAGTCTCTGTAGCTTAATTAAATACGTTTGCTATTGTCTGTGTCTTTTAAGTTTTCTAAGTGTCCGTTAAACTTTCTAAGTGTCTCTAGAATTTACCTGCCGAGACTGTAAGCATGTGTGCTGGTTGTCATCAAGAAGATTGAACCTGAAATATGAAAATTCAGTTCTGTCAATAAAAAGTTTTTTGTTTATGAGCTCTGCTGCAGCATCTCTATCTCTTGCGAAGGGGCCAGAAGCAAGTCACCCTTGTATCATCGGGTTGGTAAAGTTTGACTAATGTTTTTAACTGCCCTAAAGTTTTTTTATATGTTCTCTTCCTGTACACATTTGAAGTGGTCAAAGAGACCAGCTAAATTCTGCTGACGATAGGAGAAAATTTAGAAAAGGAACGGATGGAGTGAACATATTAGTTCAAAATCATCGTAGAAAGTAACCAAAAAGGAATAAGATTACTTCAACGAGAGCAAGATAATCAGATGAAGATAAATGAAGAAACTAATATAAAAAGGAAACAAAGACCACAAGTTAATACTATCCAAGCCCAATCAAAGAAAATAGAGTTCTGACGTCATTTGAATTCATCAACCTTGAAATGGGGCAACGTGAGTTACATTAGCAGTCATCAAACCTGGTAAACTTGAACACGTAGCTTATATTTAGACTAGTCAAGGCAAGTAACAGCATTGATAAAATTTATTAATATTTATCCATAGACCAAATTACCACAATATCTCTGACCACATCTCTGACGATAGAAATTAGAGAAGAAATTAATCTAGAATAACGTACACAAGTCGCCATCTTTCATCAAAAAGCAAACTCATACACTCAACCCAAAATTCCACAACACGCCCATGTTTTGTTCTATAAATAGACCACAATTTCTCTCAATAGATGATCAAAAGCACATATCAATTGAAACGATACTAATGGAGAGGGTGAGTCTTGTTGCAGTGATTTTGCTCGGCCTTGCTGCTGCAGCGTGCGCGCAGCAGGCTTCGAACGTTCGCGCGACGTATCACTACTACAATCCCGCACAAAACAACTGGAACCTCAACGCGGTTTCTGCATATTGTGCGACTTGGGATGCAGATAAGCCTCTGTCATGGCGCCAGAAGTACGGATGGACCGCGTTTTGTGGGCCTGTCGGGCCTCATGGACAGGCCGCTTGTGGCAAATGCTTGAGGGTAAGATGGGGTCACTCATTATCCAAGTATGGATAGATCCTACACAGTACCATTGTTTGCAGGGATGACGCTAACTATGCTACACCATTTATACGACTTTTTACACTACAAGAAAGAAAATTATGGGCTCCCTTGCGGAGTCAATAATTTAGAAAAAATAAATAAGTAAAGAGTTTGGACCCTACACCTCTCTCTTGCAGTGTAAAAAGTAGTGTGAGTTGAGTGGTGTAATTATCACAACTCTTGTTGCAGATTGACCCCTTATGTGAAATGTTTTGACTAATTTGAAGTGTTTTTTTGACAAATAAACCTCCCAGAGGGTTAAAGAGTAAAAAAATCACGTCGTGTTGGGTCTTCTGCAACAATAGAACTTCAAGGGGTTTATCCTTGCTTTGCTACAAGGGGTTTATATGCAATTCACCCTTGTTCATTTTACTCTGTAGATAAATAAATGACCAAGCAAGAAAAACTTTAAGGAAAAATAGAGTTTGTGATCTTATTTAGTTTAATAAATGATGTAATTTTACATGTCATAAAAATTTATGAGAAAGAGAAAAATATAAAGGACATGAATACTAGATAATGTTGATTCAAGAACAACATATGAAAAATAACTTTACAAAAAATGGTGTCTCGTTGTCCAGATATTGTATATGAACTACAATTTTCACCTTCTTTCATAGTATCTTCATGCTTCAAAAAGGAATCTAGTCATCTAGGACAAAAGCTTTCCTCAAATAAGCTTCACAAAAGTTTCTATTTATAGTTTCATATCCTAGACTTGTTGAAGTTATAGCGTTATGTTTATGCAGTTTTTTCTCAATACTGTATAGGTAACTAATCAAGCAACAGGAGCTCAAGCTACAGTTAGGATCATTGACCAATGCTCCAATGGAGGATTAGACTTAGATCAAGGTGTTTTCGCTCAGTTGGACACGAATGGTCAAGGTTATGCTCAAGGCCATCTCACTGTCAGCTATCAGTTCGTCAGCTGTTAGGTTCACAATATGCATGATATATAGATTGTGAAAACTACAGTATGACTATAGAAATAATGATGCATATTGAAGTTATATGTATGCATCCATCCTTGAAGAAATAAGACTATCCTCGGTTGTAGAATGTTGTCTTCTGAATAAAGATTGCGTTATATGTAATACCTCTGCCTTTTCTCACTCAAGGAGAATACTATCTAAAATTTTGTTTTATTTTATTTTTTATATTTCCGGTATGAAACTATTCTTCCACATGAAAATGTCCCGTAGTGGATGTTCAAGCTAGGAGTGGAGATTCTTGGCTTTGGAAACAATTCCTGAAGGTTAGGGATGGAATTATCCAAGATTGGTGCTCTAAGTCTAATATGATTTCTAAGCTCCAGGAATTATGTGTGAATGACAAATTGATGCCGTCTCATATCTATAAATGGCATCGATATTCCTAAGCATTTGTTTGTTTTATGGCTGGCAGCTCTTTAGGCCACTGTATATTGCACTTGGTGTAAGTTCAATAGGTTACTTCGTAGAGCGGGTTTGAAGAGCTCTCAGCAGGTTATTAATTAAGTTTTGATTAAAGCTTATGTACTCACTTCTTTTCTTCATTCTAGCTAGTATACCTCTTGATAGAAGAGAGTGGGTTGGTTCTTTGTGTTGAGAGTTTTGCTGTATGAGCTAGTCACTGTTGGGATTTTATTTTTCTCAATCGACATAGTTTTGTTGCACAGGAATGCTAGTTGCTGATATGTATATATTGCACGTTGGTAACGTAAATGAAGTTTTTTGTCGACCCAAAAAAATTACAACAGCATATCTTCTATGATTAACGGAGTGAAGTGTTAGCTCTTGTTAGTCATTGATGGATAAGGATATACCCAAATAAGTGAGAAAAATCTTATCTTATAGATAATATATTTAACTAATTGTAAATGGATTAGAATTAGATCATTTCCTCCATCTAAATAAGAACGCACTTTGAAAAGAAAAGATATAATAGAAAAGAATATTGCCATCTCCTCCCTTCTCTCTAGATTATGTATTTTCGGAGTTAGTTGCGTGGTCATTCGTGGGAGTTTTTCGTCATCTCGGTGTAATTGTTTCCAGACTGTTGCTTAGAGATCGAGGTGCGTGATAATCCTTCCAAAGATCTTAATCTCTAAACAAGTGATTTATTTCCTATATATATCTATTGCATGATTTACATTGGTACCAGAGCTAGTTCAAGGTTGCTCGCATTCTTTTAGGGTTAGATCCAATTATGATTGCACCTTGTATTTATTTAAATTAGATTCAAAGTTTCTTGATAGTGATATTGGCCCTAGAACAAAAAAGTTACAATTTTGCTATTAAACAAAATTTTAATTAAAATTGAATTTTTCGTATAAAAAAAATCTAATTTTGACATATGGGATGTTAGATCTGCAATAAAAATTCAACCTTAATGATCTGGTGGGAAATTGTTAATAAATCAGGGATTTATTAAATTATTGTTTGAAATTAGAATACATTTTTTAATTTTTAGAAAAAATTCAATCTTTTTTGAATTTTCTAAATTTAAAAAAGTAAGAAAACCCTAGATCTCGTGCAGCTAGTTCTAGAGCACTGGCGGCAACAGAATAGAAGGTTGGCAGCTCCAGTGCGGGGCACTGAAGGCCCACTAACTGCTGCCGCCTGCGCTGGGCACTAGTGGTGGCGTTTACAGAAATAGAAAGCAAAAAAAAATTAAAGAGATTGAATAAGACTCACAACGATGGCGGGTGTTGGGCAGCTATCGCCAACAGCGGTGCAGGTGGTGGGATTAGGGTGGTGCAGCTAGGTAGCGCCGCCCTGTCGTGCCCTAGATTAGCCCCTAGGGTTTTTGAAATCATAGTGGCAAAGCCGTAAACAAAAACATTTTTAAATTTCACTTATGTTTTGATTTTTTGAAAAAATCGAAAAAACTATTTTAAAATTAGAAAATTGTTTAAAAATAATAAAAATATCTTAAAAATTCTAGGAAAATTTTAAAAAATATTTGATTATTTTCCTTTAGAAATTTTAGAAGTTTCTGATGTTGAGCCCACTAGATTTCATAATAAAATTATTTTTAGTTTTTTAAGAAAATAATTTTTGAACATTGGAAGATTAGAAAAAATAATTTTTGCACCAAAAATTTAATGTTAACATCCTAACACAATCGTGGAGATTTTGATGGGTAGATATTCTAAGGTGAGCACCTAGGGCGTCTCGCAATTTCACGAGAAACAAAAAACCTTAATGAAGTTGACAACATAAATAGGTTGTTAAATATTACAATGAAATTGTTTGTTTATGTTTGTCATGCAGCATGTTCAGACACATACCACTTTAAATAAATAAATAAATTTAAATGGAAGATTTCGAGTAGAGATGGTGATATGATTTAACTACACAATGTATTCTATCCCTAAGAAGTCTAATTCCATTTTCAAAAACTTTGTAACGTCATAACCCGTGGTTGGAGGCCTTGCGCTTTCTTCTCTTTGTTTAGAATTTAATTTTATTATTGGTATAAAATGCTTGATGAGATGGAGTATCCTTTGGAAAAGAACAATACTCCTTATATCTAACAATAATCTTAATGCACCAAGAATTAATATTGTTAGTAGTTCTCTTGCACAAATGGCTACTATGAACGTTATCACTGATCTCATCACGAGTGATAAGGTGAATGCGATAAGTATCTCCTGAATGATTAGGAGATCTTGGATTGTACTGCGATAGTAATGGCGGAGCTAGATTAGGGTTCTACTCCAGCTCACGGACGTGCTGCAGAAGAGTATAAGGCTTGGAAGCAAAGGGATCATTCTGTGGGATTTACTATGTTGCCTGCAATGAGGAACAATCTAATTAGGGAATTTGAAGGTCACCTAAATGCTAAGAGCCTTTGGGATGCTCTTGAAGCGAGATTCAGACACATCTCTTTGATGAGGATTCATGTTCTCACAATAATGTTAGACTTATATTAAATGTCTATTGTTCCACCTTCATATGATGGCCTCCATGATAATGGATCTTAGAAATGTCGGTGCTGCATTCAGTCAGGAGCAGCAGATTCAGGTGGTCATCAGGGCTTTACCTGACCCTTAGAGTAACGTGAGACTACTTTTGACTCACGTGGGTATGCTCAAGACCAAGGACGTGCCTACTTCGGCTATGATAGCTGAAAGCACAAGTCACAAGGCTAAGAAGCCTAAGAAAAAGGGATTTACTAAGGGGCATCCGCAATGAGTTCCAAAGAAGAAGAAGCTAGCGAAGAAGGTGGTTAAGCCAATTGTCAAAAGGAAGGCCAAGTGCTTCAACTACGATAACCGGCCACTTTGCACGTGAGTGTCCAAAACTAATAAAAGTAAACTCTCATCTTAGTCTAGCATGTGTTGCTAATTCTGTATACATTGCTGATTCTACTATTTCTTAGATGGTATACTAAAGTGCAATGGACCAGATATATTGGGAAAGATCAGGTTTCATAGAGTTTAGGAAGATTCCAGGTAGGAGCAAGAAGATTTACATGGGGAACGAGTCATATGCAAAGGTGTTGGGCATTGATGATTACAAGCTTCCCCTCCATTTAAGGAAGGAGCGGATCTTGAAGGATGTTTTATATTCCCATAGCATGCAAAGGAATCTTATTTCGGTTTCTAGGACAATATCTTTAGGATATGAAATTTATTTTGAGAATGGTTTAGTTAAATTTATTTTAACTGACTCTTTAATTGGTGTTGGACACAAGATTGATAGCGTATTTACATTTTGTTGTGACTTTTCAGTAGGCAATAAAACTACTTGATTTTCTATTTTATCTTATATTTATAAATTCTGTGATTAGATCCTATTGATGGCATAGTAGACTAGCATATTGGTCAGGACAAGATAAGTAAGCTCGCTAGGGGTAGCCTTCTTGGTGCTTTTGCCAAGGTAGACTTGTCCATCTGCGAACATTGTCTCGTAGATAAAGCCACAAGAAAGCTATTTGGAAAAGCAAAGAGTATAAACACTCCATTGCAATTAGTACACTCTGATATCCTTGGACCTATGAATGTGAAGGCAGTTGGTGGAGTACCTTGGTTTATCACTTTTGTAGATGATAACTCTACATATGGTCTTGTATATTAGATTTCACAATGATCTGAGGCATTGGATTGCTTCAAACACTATATGAGGGAGGTGCAAAATCAATTAAGCAAAAGCATTAAGGCTTTGCGCATTGATCGTTCTAGAGAGTATCTATCCACTCGACTCAAGGAACTGTGTGATGAAAAAGAAATAGTCAGATAGCTAACAATGCTCAATACTCCACAACAGCATGGTGTAACAGAGAGGAGAAATAGGACTCTATTTGATATGGTTCGGAACATAATGGCACAAGCCAATCTACACATTTTATTTTTTGGAGACGCTCTATTGATAGTGGCATGCATTCTGAACCATGTACCTTCAAAATCAATATAGTTAACACCCTACTAGTTATGGATGGGTGACAAGCCAATATTGGATCACTTAAATCCATGTGGGTCACTTAAATCCATGTGGGTGCACTGTCATATACACACCACTTCTCATCGATATGGGAAGTTGGGCCCTAGAGGGAAAAGTGTATTTTCATACGCTATTCCAAACACTCTGCGGGATATGTATTTATAGATGAGCAGGATGATGGGAATGTGACAAAGTTAGAGTCATAGGATGTTGAATTCCCAGAGGAGGACTTCCTATGTAAAGGAGAGATAGGTCAAGATTTGGGTCGGTACGAGATCGAGAAGACTATCATGGAGCCAGTGATGGAAGAGGAAGAAGTTCCTCTACTAGTTGGAGATAGTGAGAGTGAGATGCCTACAATGGCTTGGAGCCATCTATTGAATCTCAACCTTAGAGATTGTCACACAGACTAGTACCAAGTGACATTTTAGGATCAATGGGGAAGCATTTATAGTAGCATCGCATGATATTACGGAACCCAAATCTTTTGAGGACATTATTTCTAGGTCTGTAGTGAAAGAGTAGAAGGCAGCAATGGATAAAGAGCTTAAATTTATAAGGAAGAACCAAGTCCAGGACTTGGTGGATCTCCCAGCATGACGTAAAACCATTAAGATCAAGTGGTTTTAAAGGTTAAGCAAAAAAAGGATGGGACAATCAAGTGGTGCAAGGCACACTTGGTGGAGAAAGGGTACACCTAGAAGAGTAAGGTGGACTATGAAGA